AATAAATAGACTATATGAAAAAGCATTTATTTCATCATAATAGTCTAGCGACGTAGAAAATAACCCATCTGGGTTCCCTCTCCTAGATTATGACACAACCCGTAGTTCTAAAGGAATTAAAACATCATTACGTATAGATGGATGCATGCTATTTTAAGTGTAAATCTAAATTGTTTCCTTTGTGTAATCAAATTGTCTCACTCTGTAAGAACAGATCTCTCCGATGTGACATAGCATTACCTTAGAGGAGCCTGCTCCCACGCTTCCAAAGTCTTATAAACTGCTGGAGCGCAGCTGAGTGTCACTGGACTCAGTTTCTCTTCCCCAAGTGTCTGGGTAAGGAAAAGATGAAGCCCGTAAAACGCACACGTGAGAAATTGTCTAAATCAGACACAGAGCAGTAAAAGGTGGCAGAGGAGAGCTTCAGTGTTTTCAGACGACCGACCTACTGTGTGTTCATAAGAGTATGTACCTGTGCAATGTCTTACTTCCCACTGCTTCTTATATGCTGTCTTATGTGAAAATGTGCCAAAATAAAAACAGCATTTCAGTCTATTACTTCCCCAACTTAACAATCTGTAAATCTTCTGTACCAAGCATTTAAAATTACTGGTATATAACATTCAGCCAAAGTAATATCAAAATATATTTTATTCTGGACCTCTTTCAGATCTGATTCAAATTACAGTTGTCAAAGCAATACAATGCAAAGGGAAACTGCAACAGAAAATGTGCCTAGAAGGGATATAAGGGCCTTGGGGACAAATCATTGTGACGTAGAACTAAAATACATCATCAAGTGTAATTAACATGGTCCAGGACAGTATAGAACATCTATATCAGTCTTCTTTAGACAATAATCATGAAAACTGAACAATAAAAGTCCTTTAAAGAAGTACAAAAAACTGTCATGGGCTGGTTTACACTTTTACAACAGTTGTAATTTAACTGGATAACTGAAGAAATTATGCAGACGTTTTAATCCAGTGCTATAGGTAGGCTCACAGAATTAGACCCAAAGGATTTGTAACTCCAAATGAAACCATTACAACTACAATGTCAATGTCAGGAGAGAGAGAAAATTACTTCTGTATTCTAGAATTATTGTTCTGCACACTGCAGTCTGTTGAGGACAAGATTGTAAAGTACACTGGACTAGCAACAACATGCAGACAGTTTGCTTGTATTTACCCACAAATGTCAAAAAAACATCATGAAGTAAAAATGAATGATTATTTAAAAAAGAAAAACAAAACCAAAACATGACTTAAGTTATTGTCAAGCTTCAAACTTAAAGGCAGAGAAAGCAAATCACGTACTCAAAACTACTGATCTGAAGCACTATTAACACTAAATCTGCAATCCACAAGAAACGGCAGATTTTCCTGGTTTGTCTGCCTTCCACCAGACTGACAGTGGAGACAGCCACACTTTCACAGCCCATGGTGGTTCAGAGCTTTCCTAGAGGGAGGACTGAAGGTTGCTCCACAGCTCTCTCCCTACAGAAAACGTCAGGGATCCTGATGGAGATTTACTGCTGTCTCCCAAAGCCATATTTTCTGCTAACATGCCACAATGTTGCTTCTGCTTTCTTCAGACTTCTGGAGAGGGTGAAACCGGTCCCGCTGGGTAACAGCTCTACAGGGCTTTGTGAGGGGAGAAGCGATCGCGCCTGTCAACAGAAAGGGAACTCTGGGCTAAATCCAGCAGGCCCTGCTCTGGCCAAACACCCACCCAGGCCAAGGGGAGTCTCTGCGTTCGTTTTACCTACATGGCGTCACACAGACTCAACGCCTTCAAAGCTGATTCTGGCAAGGTTTTCCCATGAAGTGAAAGACAGTGGGATTTCTGGTTAAGTAAAGATCAGAAAAATTGGGTCCCAAGGCTCCTCTTTGCTAAACAGACAAAAACATACAACCTTTTATTTACAAGCTGAAAAGCCCAGTTTGCAATTTTCATTAAACTACTTCATTCAGCAGAAGTAAATGATCAGCTGCTAAGACTGCTCCATAGGCAAACTGGCACAACTGCCCTACGCCACACACTAGTCTTCCTAAACACAAAGAACATTTCAAAGGTACAATGTCCCATGAAAGTCCCTAGCATGAGGTAAGCAGTATAAGGAAAAAGGAGTGCTTTTTAAAATGAAAATTAATTAAAATTGGTAGAAGTCTTTGGCCTTTCTCTCAAGATGCATTAAAGTGTCATGAAATCAAGAAACATGCTTCAAAATGCCATGTCATTCTGACTCTGGTAACAATTACCTCCCTCCACCCAACCCAGAAAAAGAGGCACTTTTAGTGTTTCAATAAGATTTCCAATCATCTAATAGACACGCTAAATAACCCTGCCCAATTGTAGTCCCAGAATAAACCGAGTTTATCAACATTACAAAGAGTCTAAAAAAGCTTTTATGAGGACCTCTTAACTACACTAAAAAGTCCACTGGTTGGGAATCTTTACATCAAGTTAAAAATGCAGAAAAAGGTAAAGTAAAAATAGAAAAAGAAGAACTCTACAGAAACCTGGACCTAGGTATGCAGAAATGAGAAGAAACTGGATTCCGAGATGGATGCACAGAAAGACAGCAAACTCAAGAGCAGTTAATATCTTATTCCACCATTATTTCTGAGCCTGGTTGCTCCCCTTCCTTTTATCCTCTCTTTGGATATTTGCCCATTAATGTGTCAAACTGGAAAAAATAGGAACTGTAAGGTATGCAAAGGCTTACGCACACGTTTGCCCTTACACTTGGAAAACGGGCGCAACAGAATTACTCAGGATGTAAGACTCAGCATGTGCATACGCTTATATAAAGTTAGGGTCTTACTGACATTTGGCATACTCAATTTAAAGGAACAATTTGGACAGTCTACCTCACTACTGAATACGAGGTCTTTGTGCTATAAAAGAGAATAATGTCATGGTTTTTATATTTGTTTTTTTCCTTTTTGCTTCACACAATCACAGAACCTAGCACACCTTGCACGCATGCATTTAAGTGTCTAAAACAAGAGGCGAGAAGAGGCATGAGCAGGAGCAGCACTGTGGCATGCTAGTGAAGGACAACAATAAAATATCACTGGCCAGGCCCATGGGTGGTGGAAACCGGCCCCGCTCCACCACAGTGGGACTCTGCTGATGGACACCAGGTCGGGGGGCTCAACCTGCGCACCGAAAGCGCTCAAGTCAAGAGATCTGATGTTCCCGCTGGACTGTGTTTCAAGCATCTGAAAACCTCAGACCTGTGCTACTGAAGCTCTGTTTTAGCTATTTCTGAATATGTGATGCTATGCTTAAGCAACTAGAATTACAACCAAAACAGCTGATGATTGAGAAAGAGGAAAATGGCAATATCCTAAACCATGGCTGTGTGATTTTTGCAGCTATGTCACAGAATTCCATCACAATTGTTTAGATTGGCTGAAAGAATAATCCAATAACTTTTATGAAAATTAATAAACTGTCCATATTAAAATACAAAAGTACTGTCAAGAATCACTTCTGACTTTCAGATTTAAATTCAGTGCAATTGACAAATGCATTGCTAAACGAAAAATGCAGCTTAAACATACTCAAAACATACTCAAAACATTTGTGTCTATTCCTGGGAGCACAGTTTAAAATTATTGCACAGATTTTTTTTTATTTTTTTTTTTCATTAAATGACAGAGGTCAGCCACAGTCATGGACCTCCAACAATAAAAGCAGTATTTCAAGTGCCAGACGCTCAATATATTAGGTTTCCTACATATTGTAACTCACAGGGTAATTGTTCTAAACATTTGTAATAAGTTCCAAAACCCTAAAAATAGCTGGCATCGAACCACCGCAGATGACTGTCTTTATGGATATGACTTCTTGTTGGTTTTAAATGCTGTGTATGATAGTGTTATAATCCTGGGCTATATATATAGAATGTATCGTTGACTTCTCTTTACCACTGGCAAATTGCTACCCTACCTTAGCCAAACTCAGACTTGCTTCAAGTCGTGTCTATTCCATGGAAATAGCAGAAATCAATGCCTAAAGAACAATGGTTAAAATGTCAGAGCTGCATTATCTCAATTAAATCATTGTATGCCTAATTTGGAGGGGAAAAAAAACCAAACCGAAACAGAACAAAAAGTTAGAGACTAGCAATCATAAGCCACAAAATTATTTGTGATTGAAATAGTGTTATAAAACTGACAAATTTGCAAAGCTCTGTAATAAGCTCTAATAAAGCTCTGTATAAACCACTCCTTAAGTAAAATGCCTGTGACACAAATTTGACAACCTCTCTTTTTATAAATTTACACTCTTGGAATCTTATGCAAGACATGGTGCAACCTTTTCAACTACATATATGCGTAAACAAAACCTCATGCTATCATTTACAAATAAAATCACCATCAGTATACTTTTAATCACATGAGCAGAAAAAGGTTTGCCATATACATCTGTCACTGTAAGAAAAATACTTGATATTGTAAACAGAGTAAAAGACACTATATAGTAGTGATTATTAAAAAAATAGCAGCTTACATCTACCCTATATTTGGAAAAAAAATGTAGTCACAAGATACAATAAACTGCAGGACTGGAGCAGCAGGGGAATTAGTGCAAGTATTCATCTTTTAAATAAGCTGAATCACTGCTATTAAAATAAACTTGAAGCAAGTCCTCTGTTTAAGATTTTTTTCTTAAATCTAAGGTAGTAAACATTTTGCCTCTTAATGGCAGTGTTATCAAATATATGCCAAAGAATTTATTTTAATAAAGAAAAATTACATGAGATACTTCTAATACTGGAGTTTGGTTACAATTATACATCTAAGCTCCTACAATAATGATGGGCAACTCTCAGAGAAGCTGTGGCATGAACCCTTGTCCAGGAAGGTCTTAACCTCTTAGAAACGATCCCCCAGACATACTTTGCTCCTTTTCACAATAGTGCACAAGTTAACCATATTTTAGCTATGGTCTTAAAGAAACAGAAGATGCGTTTTTATATCTTTTTTTTTTTTTTTGCATCCCTGTATTTTTCTTTTCTGTATTTTTGTGCCCTTCTATTCTCATGTTTGGCAGAATTATGTCCTAAATAAGAAACTACTGCATTTCAGCCACGTCACCAGAAAAGAAAACAGCATTATACCCATTACTGTCATACTTTGTAGGTGAGCAGGACGTGAAATATCACATCTCAAAGGAGGATTTTTTTTCTTCTCTGTCCATAATCCCTTTTTCACTCTCCCTCTGTTCACAAAGTTGTGCTCTGGGAGCCAGAAAATGTACCAAACATTATCAGGTTCAATCTACCTCTTCAAAGAATGCATTAAAATATGTTCCAAAGAAACATTTTTTTCCAACGTGAAAAAAATATAAACAAGAAACTAATTCACTCCCCTACTTCATGCATCCGTAAACTTAACCAAAACAAAACAGAAAACCCAATGTTTGAAAGCAAAGAAAAAACTACGGCTGCAGATTTCTGTAAGTCCATTTTCTCTGTACACACAAACTGCTCAACTACTGAGAAGGAAAACAAAAATACCCCACAATCCATTTTCATAGTGGACTGAAAGGGGGAAGGGGTAATGAAGGCTGCCATTAGTATCTTCTGAATTTGGTATGTATATGGGTCTGCTCTTGTACACGGTATATTTCTCTCTCTCTCTCTCACTCTCTCTTCTGTTTTTCATATCCAAAACCTTTAAATGTTATTTTGGGACACAGCAGATTCCAGCACTTGGTGAACAGGATTCACAAGCTGTGAAAAAACTCTGTCATCCTCTTCAGGGTGTAATTTTTTTTTCCTCTTTTTTTGCTTTTTATATACAGTATATGTATATATTTCTTTTACATTTGGCTGTAGTGGACTGGCCATGGTTCAATTGGGACTATAGCAGTACATGGGTCAGGGACAGTCATTTTGGCTATGTACACATTCATAGTCGGTCCATGGCTTCCAACTAGTAGCGCTATTTCCGTAGGTCTAATACACAAACCTGCAAGAAAAAGAAATACATATACAAAAATTGTACATTGCACAATATTCCATATTTATACAATTCTGTGTGAAATATCTGAGCAAAACGTATGAAACCGATTGTGCAACCTGTATCTTGTATCTCTTAACAACAGACCGTGGAGGGGCAAAAATCACCATTTGGTTATGAGCCCCTAGCCAGACTTGCTAAGGGCACTGCTGCCTAATGAATTACCATCAGAACAGTCACACCTAGTTAATGGTCCAGCTCTCATTCTCTCACATATAGAAATCTACTGGTAAAATATAATCATGCACAGGCTATGCTTTTAGTCATCAAACAGTTCTAATGTGCCTCTATTTGCTTAGTTATTATAAGCTATTTTTGAAACCAAGGGGATGTGAAGGGCTTTTGCGAGCAAACAACATAAAACAAAATGAGCCCAACAGTTTTAAAAGAGCAAAAATTAAATGAAACCCAATCTGTTGCAAGTACAATCAAGCTCTTGGGTCAAATTAACTGGAAGACTGGAAAGATTACTCAACACATCTATAAAGGATCACCTAGGGTGGAATGATAACTCATTTCTACTCAGGACACGCCTGAGCTTTTGTTTCTTTTATGATACTGTCCATACTTACAAGACTAAAGTGATATGAGAGACCAAACAAAATTAATTCTTTAGAATTTAGTTTACTTAAAATCCAGAACTTCCTGTTTTCTGTTCTAAACTCTAAAAAAGTGGTCTTGCTTCCCAGCATGGAGCACTGGGGACACAGAACACTCTGGCACCTTTTTTAAGACACTGCCTGAAACTCTGGACTACAGAGCTAGCAGGATCGCTTTTTGCTGATATTTCTTACTTTAAGCTTCAGCACTTTAAAATAAAATTCTTTATTGCTCCTATTTTATTCTAATTTTGCTTTTCTTTATACTCTTTTCTCTTTTCTTTCAAAGCCATGGCAAAAGAGACACAAACAAAAGAATAACTATTGTACTTATTATGAAGTATGTTAATATTTCACTGCAGCACTTTGCAGGACAGTGTTGGAAGAGCTAGGAGGTGATGCTACAATACACCACTATGAGATGACAGAGGCAGCATTCATGAGTAGTTAAACATATGATTTTATTCCCTGCTTCTAAGCAATGAAAAGCAGACTGGTATTTACATATAGCTCCTGTCATTTTTAGAAACTTTTTAATGCTGAGCATTTGGAAATTTGTATTTTGGTTTGCTGCGCTTTTTGTTGAATGCAATGCAAAGATATTTCACTCCCATCATGCACTGCAATAATATCACCTACAGTGAAAACTTTCACTTGAAAAGGGCAAAGAGGCAAAAATGAACTTGTTTCCAGACTATAATGAAAAGACCAGCCACAATGAAGACACTTCCATGGTAAGCCCCAGCAGGGACAGCAAATTTGAATTGGAGGCATCTTCACCTCCTGAGATTTTTGGAGGGTTTAGAACAAGTAACACATTAAGCTGGAATAAAGACATATTCTCCTTTCAACATGACAGCACCCTTGTATGAGAAAATCTGTGTGCCAGCTGGCTATATCAAACATCAGCAACAGAAGGAACATTTGTCTCCATTGGTAGCCAAATAATTTCTGAAAGATGCTTGTTGTTAGAATGTCAACCAAGTCAAGCTGCACTTACTGAACCATCTGAAGCACTTGCTCCAACTTTGTCTCCTGCTGCATTCCAGCAAACCTCAAAAATCCCTCCTGTCCCCCGATAACTGTGAACTAGGGCACCTGTCTAAAAAGGGAGAAAACATGTAATTAACATAAAATTCAAGCAAACAACTAAAATCTGTACACCAGGTAAAACTGCTTTTAAAAGCTGAAATTCTCAGAGGAAACAGTCCAGATGAGACTTGTGTACAACTCAGCAAGGACGTTACAAACACAATTACTGCATCTTGATCTCTTGTGTTTGACAGACAAAACTGGGGATGGCCATGACAAATGGGCCTTTCAAAAATTAATATTCAATTCCCAGTAGCCAGAGATCACGTCTTGTCTAACAACGAGGTCTTTAGACTTTCATTCACAGTCAGCCCTTGCTTTGCCTGAAATACAAGATAAGCAATAGTGTCCTTTCTTAAAAAGTTATGCAGAAACATTTTGGCACCATTGTCTTCTCTCACTTGATGTTCTCTCATTTTTCAGTGAAATTCAATTAAATACCTATCAGATTTGTATGTCTACATTCAGTCATCATTTTTCACAGTAAACTTATCAGGTGTTTAAAGTTCAGAGTTAATAAATACTACTTTTGAATGCAACATGTTATTGGAGACAATTTGTTGAATATATTTTGTTGTGGTTGGTTTTTTTTGGTGGCAAGTTGTTTGGGTTTTTTTTGCTAAGACAATGTAAAGACAATTATTACTTAACTATAGCTAAAAACTCAAAGAAAGAAATTAAATGTACCTCCATTAACAGAAGTAACTTTAGAACAAAGAAAAAACGAATCAGCGTGTTAGCAAGGCCAAAACTCTGTGGCCAAAACTCTTTGTGGCCGAAACATGATGGAGTAACAAAAGGTTGGAAGGACATGGATGGAAGAAACCAAAACACAACCTCCTGAACAGGCAGAAAAAGCTTTACCTGTGTATTCCAGATGTGTACACACTTATCAAAGGAGCCGCTGGCCAGGTACCTGCCATCAGGACTGAAAGCTACACTGTACACAGGTTCTTGATGTTTTGTCAGAGTATGAATACAAATTCCTCTGTCTACATCCCATAACCTAACAGTAGAATCAAAGGATGCACTGTCAAGGGAAAAAAACCACACATTAATTACATCTCAATTTAACATATTTTTGTTTCTAGTATAAAAATCATATGATAAAGTATCCTACATGCTTGAAAACATTCTGTGAACCTATATATATATTAAGAGTTAAGTAAAAATAATGCTTAACAGGCACTTAAAAACAGGATTTAACAGTACCTTGCTAACATAAGATTGGCATTTGGATTATTTGTTCCTGGTCCTGTAGGACTCCATTTGATAGTATAAATTTCTTTGTTGTGTGCTTGTAAATCATGGACACAACTGTCTTGTTTCATACTCCAGATCTATGATAAAAATGGAAGAAAACACAAAGACATTTAGCACAATATTGTACTCAAATACATTTTACATCTTTCTTCTTTATCATTTGTAGTTTGACTGCTACTTTTTAGGCCACTAAAAACATTTACTATGACTAAAGTCTAGTTTCTAGTGTAATTATTCCAGTACCTTCCAGTTTTTGACTTACAAGTACCTGATGAGGTTAGTAACAAAGGTACTGTCTACAGAAACCTATCTGCATCTGCTAACCACAAGCCCCTTGCAAAGTGCAGGGATGACAACAGATTATAAAATGAGAAGAGCAATACGTATATGTGCATGTCTGAGTTGATAAAATATCACAGTCCTATTTTTAAATGAACTTCTTGCTACCCTAAGTTAAAGTGATAGTACAGAAATTTTCTGTTTTCATACAAAGCCACAGATGCATACTGCAAAAAAGGTTATGGCACTTTCCTGACTTGTTAGGATTTGCATTTGTTTGTTCAGTACTTCATACAAAGGAGGAGCTCCTCAGGACGCCAACTCCTGCATTACAATCTTCAACAAATAAAATAACTTTATTCTATTAAGAGTTTGCATTGCATACAGATGGAGTCTGGAAGGCTTTTATTCCTTTTCCTAAAAGTGAAACTTGATATAGTAGTTAAACATCTAAATGTTTTTTTAATGAAATCTGTTTCAGTCATGCTTTTAGCTCACCTTGTGTTAGAAAAAGCTAACAAGAACAAGCTTAAGCTCAATTGTATTTGAGACACAATTGGGGTGTGTGTTTAAATGAATGATGTTTTTAGAACTGGTGCCTCACTGAAGGGAAAATTGATTTTCAATGTGCAGACAGAATTTAAATTGTATTTCCAGTTTAAATGGATGGGATCAAAATCTACCTTCTCTTCCCAAAACTAGTACAGATGAAAAGAGTCCATATTAGCTGTCCTAGAGAATACCAAGCTGCCATCACAAGAGAGAATAAATACATAGATAAATCCATAGATCACTAGGCATCTTCCACTCGCTTCAAAACCTGACACTCATTCCTACTGTCATTGAAAAGTAAGTGATTCACAAGCAATTACTGATGCGTAGACTTATCTACAAGCAATTGGTCTTAGTTATTCCTGAACAAAATCAGCCCAGGCTGGGCTGATTTCCTAACAACAACCAAGAAGTTCATTGCAGAGCCCACAAATGGTGATGTATTTCCAGTTGTCACCTCTCTACTCACTGACGGGCAGCAGCAACAGCTTGAGCTCTAGATTGGAATTTATCTCACCTGAGTTTCAGCTGTCTAAATATTAAATATCTAGCTTAAGCTGGCTATTTTAACTCCATCCATTGCCAATGGAGAATGACTGATGCTCTCAGGGGTTTACTCATCACACTTGACTTAGAGACTTAACTTAGGAAAAGATGAATTGCTCTCCAGTGGTGCTAGACACTGTTGACTAAAGATGTCTAGACATCTAGCTTTAGACTAGAGGCTTAGTGCGCTTAAATATCTCTATTTAGATAAGGTGATCCCATTGCAAGTGCCTGACTGTGTGCCAGCACAGGAGGAGATATCTGGCTACTCATTCACCCATTCCCTGTCTCTGATTAAACAATGGTGAACTAGATGGAAATAACTGTCCCAAGGGCTACTAGTAGGACAGCACTGTCAACATGAAAAACCATATCCTGAGACTAAACATAAAATACATGACTACTAAACAAAGTGCTAAACACCCACTAAATATAAAGCCATATGGGAGTAATGGAAAAACATCTGTAACATGGAAACAGCACAGGTCTGTCAGGCATGAACAACCTCATCTCTTCAACTGCATCTAACAGGGTGGTATTTTTGTATGGAACTCTAATGCACCTCGAAGTCATATGAATTAGTTACAGTATCCTCTGCATTCACTACTTTGCTCCAGTTCTACAAGAAACCATGTTGCTATGAATTATTTGGAGGAAAAGTGTAGGTGCAACTGAAGACTCCAGAATGACTCCTATTGGATCAGAAAAACCAAGGAGCACACACAGTTTCTTAAGAAACAATATGCCAAAGATTTTAACTAGAAAGATGAAAACTGAAGAAAACCAGGAAAGGAGCTGGTCACCTATTCTTGTATGTGTTACACTACATGCATTTCAACTCTTTCTTTTAACCAAAAGCAACCATCAAGCGTGACAGCTTAATGATTAATGACCTGATCCTGTAAACAGCTAAAAGTACCTAATAAATAATGCTCCAAGTCTGAGAGTGGCAGCCTGTAATAAATTCTCTGGACGAAAGCTTGGCTCTGATTAAAAAGGATTTGCTAGCATTGCCTAATCTTGTTACATTAAAAATAAACAAATGTTAGATGACACGGTAAGTACAGTGATACTGCTGGAATGCCTGAGCTAATGGAGTGAGCTTCAGAGTTCTACAAGACAAGAGCCAGTGCCAGAACTCCCGTTACCTTTAGAGTCATATCGTCAGAGCAGGATGCCAGAAGGTTACCAGTTGGATCCCATTTGATTGCGTTTACTTCATTCTAAAATTGAGAGTGAGAATAAGTTGAAGTCTTCACTTCCACTACAAATGACAGCTTACGAAAGATAAAGTTGGACAGCAGTTATGAGTATCTGTATAATTGTCAGTATTTTAACATTTAATTTTCATTCCTAGCTTTGCCTTCAATAACAACTTTTTGCTACCTGCTCATCACATTTTCCCATGCATGCTCCTACCCAACACAGGCTGTGCATAGCAAAGTGTTAAAGTTACCGTGTTTCTTCTTCTAAAGCTCACTTTCACTATGCCATCCTGGCATTGGTAAAAAAAAAACTAAACTGTACGTGGGAGGGAGAACTGTTTTAAGAATGAAGAGACTAAAGTTACGTATGACCTTAACTACAACTACATGTATATGCGTACCTATTGCCTGTTGCCAAAGACCGACCATTACACAAGTGCTGTATACTGGGAAGTATACTGGGCCCTCAATCTCTTGTTAATAAAAATATCGTAAAGCAACACCCAATTTTCCAGTACTTACTGTGTGACCCTGGAAGGTTTTGATGGGTCTATCTTGTCCTAGTTTACAGACATGAATACACATATCTGTACTGCAAGAGGCAAATGTGTTGTTACTCTGCCAATCAACATCTAATGCCGGTGCTAAAAGAAAAAGAAAGATATTTAAAACTATGGTATGCATTCTGCAGGAGTTTGATTTGCAAATTTGGCATGCACCACCTTAGAATAAATGCCAACAGGAAGCAGCCATTAATTTTACAGCAGTTCTAAAGATAATCAAACACTACAAACAGTGAGAAATGCAGCCAAAACCAGTCTTACACAAAGAAATGAAACAAAATTTAATAGAAGTCATTAAAACATGGAACATGTCTGAAATGAAACAATTCTACAGAAGACAGTGCAAGAGGACAAGCTGTAGTTAAGTCACCTAAAAATAATCTGAAGAGTCAGCATGAGGAATAGGTTCCCACAGCTTAACATATCTTCATGCATGAGCTCATCTCCACTAACAGTCCATGCTTGGGCTCACAGACGGCAGCCAGTGAAAGGTAATGATTTATTTCCTTTCTTTAATTCCAGCAATATGAGGTGTGGTAACTTGAAGCTTAATCACAGGCAACATATTCCATTTGGTCAAGCCAAGATATTTATGGCAGATAGCACATAGAATTGCTTGGAGTAAATAAAGAATTAATGTTTTTGATTGTTGTCATGCAACTGAAAAACGTAGTGTGAGCGGAGTAAGAAGTGGAAACGAAACACATTTCTTAAAGGCCCTTCAATGAGATGTCTGTCATCCTCTCTATTCTATTTTCCAGCTGATTCTGGCAGGCTTGCACAGCATGCAGCCCACAAAGCAATTTGTCTGACCTCCTGAGAGGCTGCACTCTCATCCCAGCCAGCCACCGAACAGCCTTGCAGCTGGTTTGTGGCCAAACAAATTGGGGACAGCACAGCAGGCAGTGCAGAACACTGGGATGCAGAGCTGGGGTTACTGCAGCAGGAAGATGACAAACGCAGTCCTTAGCTGGTAAACACCAACCCTTCGTGGCCCACCCACTTGATTGTCTGCCACTGCACTACAGAAAGTTGGTAATATTTGGATTATCTATTACGACTTTCAGAGAACTGCAATAAAATTGGGAGTTAGAAAAGTTATAAAATCTGAACAATTCTATCGACTACAAATATGTGAGTCAGTATCCAAAGACTGCCTGTAAGACTTCAAAATGGTGTCAATAAGCTCCATAAACTTCAGATTTATTTATTTATTAGATAAATAACAGGCTTTTAATCTTTTCAGATCAAGACTTACCAGAATGAAAAGGAAACTGCTGCTTTGCTTCGCCAGTGTGGGCATCCCAAATAATTGTGGTCTGTATTAAACATATAAATAAACAATAAACAAGCTTGTACAAATTGCTAATTTCTCTACAGCTACCATCATTCAGATGTATCAGACCACCTTGCCTACGCCCCATTGCCCAAACTTGCTCCTGATTTCTAGTGTTTTACCCAGTACTAAATGAAACCATAGTAAAAGTATAGACAGCAGTAGAAAGCCTTAATGTGTTGTAGTATTAGCAAGGTGTTTAATCACAACATTTTGGGGTGTGGAGGGAAGAAGGGGATTGTTGGTTGGGGTTTTTTTATATAAACAAAAATTAAATAGATTTCTCTCTTTAGTTGTATTTATGTTCTTCTAATCCACTCCACACACTTATTTTAATTTCAAATACTTGTATATTCAAATAGTAATTTCAAACACTTCTTCGTCCCTAAGGAGATCCCTATACAAACAATTAGTCTCCAGAATCAGAAAGATTTTATGTAAAGGTGTCGTTTTGTTCTGAGTTGCTCTCTGCCAGTGCTTCTGATATCCTTCTGATGAAAGTTATCTTACATGACACATTTAGTATTTTATAATCACTACATTATATACCAATATTCCTGACCTACCTCAACAATCAATGAAAATTTTGACACTGAATTCAGTGGAAGCATGAACTGACCACACAAATAATCTATGGAAAAGAAGCATCAGATTGGGTCAATCTTTCTGCTAATGCAGAATATTTTTTCAAATCGTAATTTCAGTTGCTTTGTCCACAGAGTTTTATTGACTACAACGAGGCTTCTATCTCCTACAGAATATTTTCCTGCAAATTAAAGCTGCACTTCCACAAAAATTTAAAAACTGGCAGAGGCCACCATAGCTGCCAAAACAAGAAACCCTCCTTTGAGACATTTACTTTTTCTTCCTTTGTGCCAGCACAAGCATTTATAAAGCTAGGCACTAAAACAAACCCGGTTAAATGCATGCAGGAAAAAAATAAAAGAAAATGTACTACTTTAGAGTGACACTGCCAGTTTGTAGTAATGTAGGCCTGTGGTCTCACTGAGAGAAAGCCTGTGTTTACTTCTGGACCTTGAATCAGTTACAGAGGAAAAACTACACTATTTGTACCCATTGAACAGTCTATTCTGTTCTTTGAGTTCACATTAAGTCTACTCTTCATCACTATGTTCCCTTCCTACCATTCATAAAATCTCCCAAACTAGCGACAGCTTTGAATGTAAAGACCTTGTGAGTCTAAGTTTGTTCAGAGATGCGAAATAAAACACAGTTAAACAATAAGCTTCATGACATGACGCTACTGGCACCTCCTCAGTCAGATATATTGACTTTTCTTATGTTCCAGCTCTAACTGTTTTAATCATTCTCAGGCTTGACAGATATCCAAATCAGCCTGAACTTATTCCTACAGAATGATTTTTTAATGAGGCTTTGCATAAAGCGCTTCACTAAATTTTAGATGATTCAGTTTTACAAAAGTTTAATATTCCTGTATCCAACACATTTGCTTTCCAATTCACACTAACCTAAGCGAAAAGAAACCCAGGAAGACTGAAATCTAAGAAATTAAAACATCTCAATAAACTGCTATAAACCACAACGAAACATAGTTAGCATAACAAGTTATTTGTAAGTACATGTTTACGTTCCATACCTTTAGTTTAATTTACTTACTTTCTATAGCTGTGCTATTATGCTTACAATTAGATTATAACAGTGAAGGAAAGTATTTTAATTTTACCAAAGTTTATCTCACCTTGTCCACTCCTGCACTTAAAATGAAGTTTCCTTTCTTGTTCCATTTTAACGCAAATATAGGACCTTTATGTTGCCCTAAGGTGCTGGCAAGATTACCTGAAAATTTATATTGATATGAATACATTAAAAAAAAAAATAAAATCTATGCTGTGAGCCACAATACAGGAAAATATACTGGAAATTAAAAGTATTTCACTTACCGTCTTTAGTCCATATCCTTGCAAAGCCATCGTAAGACCCAGTTGCTAGAAGTGTACCTTCACTCTGCCAGCAAAAAGGTTATTTTATTTATTATTTTTTTTACTGTGTAACTCAAGGCTAAATAACACAAAACATATTTCAGGTAGAATACACCTGCATAAGATTTATGATATTTAATCCACTGACTACAACTTATTAAAAAGAAGTCCCCAAAATACAATACAAGAAACTACAACTCAACTCAAAAATTGAAACATTTCGGGATCCCTAGCAGAGGATGCGCAGTTGCTGTCACTTAGAATCTGACTATGCAAAATTCTAGGTACAATTTTCTCGCAGTATTTTGAGTGCTGCCATTTCCACTTACATTCCAATCCAGCGATGTCACATCTTTGTTGCTGGGTACGTCCTGCCCTCCTTCTCGTATACAGTGTCGAAGTACCAGTTGTGTAGAGCCGCTCGTGCTGTTCTCACTGAGATTCCATATCCGTGCTGTCGAATCTCCAGATCTACAAAACAGTTAATGAGAATATAACTCCTTCTCCCAATTAATTCCCTTTAAAAAAAGTATTCCTTTCAAAACAGCAAATGTTGTGGCATTTAATGTAGAGGGTGCTGGGGCAGGTATTATTTTAACTTGCTACCTCAACACAACAAAGTCTGCCTATAAATGTTGATGTTATGTGGGCACACGGTTAATGCACATACCCTGAGGCCAAAAGGTCACTGACAGGATTCCAGGCACAGATGAACACTTCAGATTCATGGCCACGCAGCACCACTGCCTTGTTGGGAGGAATTTCAACGTCTCCGTCTACTTCCATCATATCTGTGTGATTATCTGCATTATGGGAAACAACAGTAGAGAAAGGTGCACTTTAATATTTTGGGACAATACACTTTAACTACTCTGCGGTTCCTATTCTTCTGGGATGAGCTAAGCAATTCATTCACAATTTATATGGATCAGAATTTGACAAAGCTGTAATGATCTTTTATTTTTCCAGTTTCAGTTTATGAAGTGCTATAAACAGATGGAGAGTTTCAAAAATGTGAGAAAGCTCTTAGCCCTTCTAAACCTCAGCATCCAAATGGATTTAATTTTGAAAGTTTGAAATTGAGGCCAAAAGTTCTTTTTTTTGTCACGTTAAAAAATAAACACTGATGTTAAAAATACGGTTTTTCAGGCATGATGCTGCATAGTACGATATGTTACTAGTCTATCTTGTGCTTTAAAATATGTTTATGACACGTTCATTTCAAAATTTTATCTTTTCACCAATTGCAGTCAAATAGGTTTTAAATCTACATCTCAGACACTTCATTTACAAAATGGCTTTAATTAATACAATAACATCTGGTGATATGGTAAACTGATAACAGAGCTTTTTAAACTGCATCAGCAATTACTGTGGAATTGTGGCAACACATAGCTTTCTTCATGGAAGTGATGTTGAAGCCATATTATTCCGTAAAACATACTGGGGGTAATTCAAGTGACAAAACAGTTCTCTTGGCAGCTACCATCAATCATTTTCTGTTATTAAAATAAACTCACACTGAGTGTAAATGCAGAATACAAAAAAAATGCTAAAGAGTTCACCTGCTCTGTATTTATTCACTGTGGCTAAACAAACCATTTCATATCTATTGCTTAATTTAACATTAAGGGTTACTGTCACTGTTCATATGTGTGAGAAAACAGAAAAGGCCATTAGAACATGCATATTTTTGAGAGCACCACATAAAACACTACTTCGATTAAAGACAATCCATGCCAGTAAAATTTGGTATACCAGCCAGTAGAGGCTGCTGCTATATAACATTTAACAGTGGCTGAGATCTGAAGTTTACACTTACTCTATCCAGTTCACAGTTAACAAGTAAATATTCTTTTGTGATTTTTAATTGAAAGCATCAAAGTAGAGGGCATATTTGTGTAAGACAAAGATTATATTTTCAGTTTATTTATCACATATAAGAATGAAAAAAGAGCCCTAGTAAAATCCAGCTGTAAAATGCAAAACTCGTACACAGCTTGATATGAATATTCTCTCAAAAATGTCTTTTCTTCAGGTGCTTTTACAGCAAGAGATGTAACTCCCTCTCTCATATGTGTAACTCAGACTTCCAGAACAATATTCTCAAGACCACATTTTAGTGCCTGACCTGAACTATGGCTTCTATGCTAAGCCTGATTTGACCATTTCCATACTAAGCTTCCTGTGACCAGTGACGACAATTAAGACTCACTTGTTTCACCAATCTCAACTCAAATGGAACCAAGAATAAATCAAACCCACAAGCAGCTGCATCAAATAACTCTGAATAGCAAATCATGAAAACCAATACCTATAAAGGAGATAAATGACACAGGATTTGTCTCAGTAACCATGATGATCTCAGCATCATGAGGAAGGCTGTCCTACAGAGAAGTGGTTACAGCTCTCCAATTCATGGGGTTAGCAGGATCGGTCAAAAGTACTTTGCAGAGCTTCACAAGCAATGCTCAGTTTTAACCAGCTGTGGCTAAGCAGATGACTCTACTTGATCCTTGGTACAGGGGTCAAAGCTGAGGAGGTGACATTTAAAGAGTTGTATCTCTGTTTTGTTTTGGTTTTCTTGGTTTTTTTCTCTTTATGCAAAGCTCCTCAGAAGGTCCTGTGAAAAACCTTCAGCTGATGGGAAAGGAGCAGTACTGAGACTGGTCAATGGAATATTGTCAATTAGTGAATTCAGAAGTCTGTCTCCTGCAATTCCAAATATCAAACTGGTGACAGCCAAAGGTGAGACACCATCTGTTAAAGTATCACCTACGACAAAGGTATTCTCTGCAAGTTGAAGGGTTGCCAGTAACTCTACACATTTACTTCATTTTCTACTAGCTCATACTGCAAGCTGTACTATGATAAATGACAAGGATGTAACGTTAACATAGGCGAGGATAATTTCAGTCTCAACTTACTTGCTATAGTATGTGCCCCATTCTCTTCTCCATTTGCAGTATTTTCTCCATTTTTCGCTGATCCCTGTTGGTTCGTCGCGGCTGCAGCTGCAGCGGCTGCTGCCTGCTGTTGTGCAAGTTTATCTCTGTAGGCCTGTTGTCTTGTCTGTACCACATCAGGCATTACTGCATCTATCAGTGAGAGAGACTCTATCGGCCTACCATCAAACAAGGTACCATCCTAAATTACAGCACAGGGAGAAAGCAAAAAAAAAAAAGACAACACCAAGTACAGATTAACACTGTGGGCAAAATTTCCAAGGAAAACTAATGCAAAAGTTTTGGCTTAATACAAGGAAACAGTTTACAAATAGTGCTGGAAGTGATATCATTGTGGTGAGGATTAGAATTTTATTCTAAAGTTAAGTGGCCACTCTAAATACGCAAAAAAAGCCACTGCAGGCCTCTGGCAGAGGCCTTCTGGAATCCAAATTTCATGGTTTGAGTTTGCTAAATAGTCTGCTAAAGCAAAAAGTCCCGTAAGCTATCTATGAATATGATTTCAAACATGACTGGCTGCAACAAAACCTAATGGCTTGTTTGAAGAGCTGCAAACATTGCAAGTCGGGTCACTGGCTTGTGAAATTATTCTAGCTTATTAGACTAATACTTTCCATAAACATATTATCTGGAGATTTGACTAGCTTTCTTCCTTAACAGTGCTGGCATGTTTTCAAACAACAAGGAAGAATTTTATCCTGAAATGGACAAAACCCTGTTAAAAATACCCTTATACATATGCCAGGGCTTTGTAAGGATCTATTTTTAGGAGGTAGAAGGGTTCCTCCTCTTTCAATTCCAATCACTTGCTTTACTTTTCTGAGGCTTCCTAAGGGAAAAGATTTGCTTCATTGGGACTATGAAAATGACACATAAACAGCATACATAAGGGAGACTGGAATGAGTGGAATCAGTGAAAAAAAAATCGTCTCCTCCTGAAATAACTGACACATTCAAAGGCTGCTAAACCTTCCAGGCCTAAGTGGGAATGGGAATTGAGGGCAAGTATCTGCAGCATCAGGCAGGAAGATCCATAGCTTTCTGTACTGCTGGAATAACCATTTAAGCTTCAAATTTAATAGATCCTGCTCAAGATGAATTAGCCAGCAGCGGCAAAAAGCAAACTGGCATATACCTTTATCCTTCCTGCCACAAACTAAAACCCTCTCTCTATTTGGAAGCCTTGCCCTTGGGCTCTCATTACTTCATTATAATGACACATCACCCAAATGAGAGCTGCACAGTGCTCTCCCACCTCCTTAGTGCAAGTCTACAAAACCAAAAATTAAGAGGTTACTTGTCTCAATGACTATTTTAGTGCACTTGTTGGGGTTTACTATAATATGGTATTAGGGTAAAAACTCTACAGACAACGGACCTTTAAGCAATGAGCCAGAACACCATGCCTGGTGTTGTGTGGCTGCACTGGGCAGAACCCCTACCCAGTTTTGTCACTCCATTCTGGTTCCACCACTGGAGTCATGGTGAACACCAGCAGTAAGGAATCTGAAGTAAAAGTAAATAAATAGGATACAAGAAAGTTAAGAAAAAATACTAACATTCGAACTTGCTGCAAACAAGGACACAATGCTCCTGTAGGAAAAGCCTCCTTACCTCATTAATACTGACTTCTGCCTCTACATACTGCAGACCTTTCTGGATGATGGAAATCAGAGCAGCTGGTGGCACCAGAGCACCGTTTATATTAGACTGGCTGATATGGCTCTCTATACCAAAGGTAAATGCTGAATGGGAAAACCCTACAGACAAGGCAAAAACATCAGAATTTGTTTACAGATAGACACTGCTACTCGCCATACTACTGCAAGATTTTCCGTTTATTAATCTAAACAAGTTTTACAAAGTTACAGCATGTTTATGAACTATAAAAAAAACTCCTCAAAACACCTCTCTTGTTTCCCTCTCATGTTTCTAGTTTAAATGTACAAAATACAGACCCCAAGTTTTATATATAAAAACAGCAATTATTAATTATGGTATCATTGGCAAAACTTTCGTGCATAAGTAAATATATAAATATAAAATATGTAATAGTTTTTACATGTATTTATATATTCTAAAACTATATATATATATATACAATCCATACAGTATTTAATGAAATATGTAACTCCAGACACCAAGACTCACTTGTTATTTTTACTCACTGATTTCTCACCATGAAGGTAAAGTGAATCTGTATGTGAACAGAATTCACTTCACAGCACAGTGCTGCCAGAACTGTGCATGTTTTGGCATGTAGAACTACATCAGCACTGTGCACTGATTAAGAAGTGGCAAGCACATTATGGTGCAACAGTGGTAGTTACTTGCTATTTATTTGGTTGCCCCAAAAAGGCGAATTTAACCTAGAGAAAAATAGCTGTTTCAGCAAATTAACTGTACTGTCACAGAATTTTTTCTTAAATCACTTTTTTTTTTCCCTGTCAGGTAACTAAGCAGCTCCTTGCAAACTTTCAGATGAAGATAAAGCAATTTTGTAAGTTTGGCTTCTGTAACAAAAGCAATCTTCAGCTGGAACAAGAACATATAACAGTTTTCAGTAAGTTCAGGTAGAACAATTGAATTTCTGCTTTCTTCTGACAAGCAGAGACTGAAAAACTCTGCCATCCACCATTGCTTCTGGTGCTTCTTGTCTCAGTTTGAGACGCTCATGAGCAGTGGCCATAAGCAGTAGACAGATGTTGCATGAGTCAAATACATTTTCAAGAAGTCTGAAGTTTGTTTTCAAGTTTGACAATATTCATCTGTCTTTTGCTTTTACTCCCAAGAAGCAGGAGGCTTGGCAAGCCTGACACCAAAAGACAAAATCCTCCAATAATGCATCCTGCAGGGAGGGAGGCTTTTGAGAACCCACGGCTCATTTCTGTAAAAAAAATTGTTCATCTGTATTTAAATTCAAATGATACAAATCATACGGTGACAGTTGCCAACTCTTCCTTCGCAATGCAGCAACATTCACCCTCCCACTGTCATGCTTAGGCCAGGAATTCAGCCATGCAAGACCAGCTCGCAGGAGCATCATCTCAAAACCAGGAAAAGCAGTATTTTGGAGGTCATACTTTTTTCTTCTTCAAGTAGCCCCAAAGAAAATGGTGCAAAGTGTCATCGTCACCCTGTAGATAAAAGCAATCTCCAGAAAAATGCATTTCTAGCAATCAAGTAAGTCCTTAGTTGGTTGACTGCCATCTAAAAACTCTAAATGATTAAATCTGATTAAGTTACAGAAGGTAACTTGGCAGGAATTCATTCTCTTGTTGGGAAGAAACACCAAGAAACAGTTCAGACAGAAGCACATGCCTACTGGCAAAATAATTAAATGAGTCGCTAAAGCCACTTGCAGACGAATACCAAATAAATTATGCATTGTTTAAGAACCAGAATTGTAAAAACTTACCTGACTCCTGCAAGTATCTATATACCAGGAAGTTAACCTCATCACTGCTTATACTCATCTTTATTCCCAGTTAAACCATGAGGTCACAACAAAGGACACAACCCTGAAAATAAAAAAGTAGGTCAATTAACTATTTTTAGTACCAATACGTATTTCTCAGCAAATGCTATATTTATAAAGTAAGTAGCTCCCTGGCAGCACAGACAATGGTTTTATTTTATAATGCAAGTAAGCCTGCCACAGTCATTAAAAAGTCATTTGTTTCACCACAACATAAAGGCCAGTAAATTAAATATTGAAGGGATGGATTCTCAAATGATGTAAATTTGTACGGAGTGGGGAACTAGACCCTTTAATACAAGTATTAAAAAGGCCTTATTTCACAGGTTTTTAAATAATAATCAAGTGAGTTTCAGCAAGTCAACATTGTTGCTACAGAACACATTTTTCAAAAGACAGAACACTTGGTTTCGTGTTGGTATCCAGGCAAGGTCTCACTTTTACTTTCTAATCTACTTCAATTTTCAAGTACTCCTTCTCCAGTAAAAGAGTGTAACATAGGCTACAACACTGTATCTGTTCAAAGAGAGTCCAACTATTTCCACTGAAAAGCAGATAAAGCCTCATCTATATATTTATTTATATCCATATATATGCTTTGCAAAAGAAATTCCTGAAAATAGAGAGAAGAATTAAACAGAACATTTTTAGTAACATTTCTCTAGGCTTTTAATCAATGCTTTAAAAATACTGATGGATATATAGAGACACAATTTTGTCTTGATTTTATTAATGGTAGATATTTAGCAAAACAAATAATGTAGCAGACTATATATACGTTCGAGGACAAATTTTGAAAATATGAAGCAGCAAGAGTCTTTAAAGCGTGAAGGTGAAGAGACAGAATACAGTACTTAACTTTACATCTCATTTTTGAGAACATTCTTGTGACTTCTGAATGTTTGAAAGGAAAAATTCTGATTTTTTCCATGATATCCAATAAACAAGTAAAAGCATCAGCTACCAGAACAGAGTATGAAATAAGGTCCACCTCCTGTTCCCATTATTCACCCAGCACTTTTCACTGGCAAAAGATCAAACCTTCAAGGCTTTTACCCAGCCACCCACCACCACCGTTTTCTTCCACAGAACCGGAGTCAGAGAAGGTAAGCGACTTTCCTACTGTTATTTGACAAAGCTTGATCTGCATCCCATGTGAAAAAATAAGGACTAGAGAACAGGTTTTCTTGAATTATTCAAAGGAGAATGATCTTGCCGTTAAGGATCAGCTACATGGCTGCAGTCAGCCCGTTAATTCCCCACTGTTGTGAGGTGTGAAAGCGGTGAACGCAGCAGGAAGCAACAACTGAAAAACTGTGGTCAGCATTATAGGGCTGCCAAATAGTCCAAGGCTTTACATTTTCTACCTAATCATCTTTTCCTAGCAAGATTTCCCAGGGAAACAGGGCAAAATGACCACGCTTTCTTTCCTATTATCTAACTTTTGAATTTTACCAGTCAATTGCAACCAAATTTGACAGCAGGAAGAGAAGCTGCAGGATGAACCCAGACATCAAATCAATGTGTGCCTGAAACCACACATGAACCCTGGTGAGTCGATGGACATCCCCAGATCTGCCCCAGCCACGCAGTCGCCCGGTCAGTTAATAGCTGGGGGTAACAGCTGCTTGGTTTGGAGTGGGCACTGGAAAGACAACACAGTCTGAGAGCTGCGCAGGGAGGGCTTAGATCCAGTTGTGACCAGCAAGACTCGAGTAGGAGAGCTGGGATGATCCTGCACGGGAAACGGGGGACTCATACATGATGCAGGACACAATCACAAAATCCAGATCTTGTGTTTATAGAGCAGGTTGAGCACACTGCGCTGCTGAAGGGGGGAAGATGCTTTCAGTTTCTTAGGGAAATGAAAATGCAAAAGCTACTGAAATCCTTCTCATTTTTAAAGGTAAAAATAATGGCTCCAGTAAAATAACTTCTAGCCAGTGTAACACAACTTGTAAAGATACATTGATATCCCTATCCCTATCCCACCCCACTTGTTTATTGAGCAGTATGTGAAATTATTGTCATTTTAGCCATTTCATGCATTAGCAACCAATTCTACCATGTGCAAGACCAAACAGATTTTATTCGGCTACGTTTTGTTACCGTATCTGGCACACATCATCTTTATTTGAGACTGCTTGCTACAGAGAAGTTATGTAGGAAGAGGAACAATATGCTCCTTAAGAAGAAAAGGTATTTAAATTTAAAAAGACTCATAAAGAAGCCTTTATTACATTACACACAAACAGTAGTATTTGTTTCATGGGCTTGTTACCAACTTTTTAAATCTTGCTGCATCATCTAAAAAGATCCAAATGCAGAAAGCAGATGAAAGTGCTCTTTACACAGAGAAAATCTGCATTATTAATATGAAGAAGGCTTCCCACTCAAAGCAGAATCGTGGAGATGCCCCATAAATTCACCTGGACAGCTAAAGAAAAAAAGCTAAGATTCGGCTTGGCTGTCCATGTCCAATGAGCACTATTTTCCAGGGCTGGTTCTCAGTGTTTTCCACATGACACCTTGGCAAGGAGGAGCCCTGCCACACGCTGTCCTGCCTGGCTATCAAGAGGTGGCAGTGCAAGCCTGGCTTTGGTACTGAAACAACTAGAAAAATACAGAAATCTGTTCAATAAATATATGGCTTGCCTGATGAGGACACGAAACTGAAAAGGGTACAAACATTTCCAGTTTTTTACCTAGCTATTGCTTTATCCATTTTTTTAGTGCTTATTTAAGTCTTCTGAACACTCATCTCTGTGTTGACCCCCCCACCATGGGCCCAGTCGCTTGGCCAGCACCCTGGGACAACCATCGCCCCACAATTGCCTTGGGGACAACCACTGCCCTGCTCACCCACAGCCAAGGGAAGTGAGGAATTACAAGAGGAACAAGCAACACCAAACCACACTCCTTCCCATCCCAAATGCAATCAAATTAAAGAGAAACCACCGCAGAAGCACAGATAGCAGAGGATACACTAATCCCTTCCCTTTGACAAATTTTAAATCAATACCAGGCTTGCCTCTGGCTGCCAGGTTTATGGGGACAAAGCCAGCGGTCCCTCGGCAATGGGCTTGCTTCATTACTGCTAGTTTATTTCCCCCAAATCTGCTGTTTCCATGTGTAATCGACTACTTATTTGAGGCACTTAAAATTATATTAATATTGCTATTTACTTTAGATAAAGCAATTAAGTGAAAGAAAACACAAAAAAATTCAAAAATAACTAGACATTACACAATTTCTACCAGTCTTAGATTTCTAGCCTAATTTGCAAAGGGACCATTAAAAATATTTCAAGATATTTGCACCTGCATGTCCCAAATCCATCCTGAAAATGTAACAAGACCCTTTAGGCCCTTTTGTCTGGCCCTCATAAAAATTCCAAGTCTTCCTCAAAATATTCTTTGGATTTACAGGAAATACGGCAAGGTGCAGTGCACCCACACCACTGTTCTAGTGCCAAGGGTGCTCTTCAAGGAAATCTCCTGCTTGCCTTGTGGTTGTTTTGCACCTTGGAGCAATCACAGTGCATGTGAAGTTGATACCTTGCAAGTAAAAACTAGGATTTAAGAAAATAAAACCAAAATAAAACAAAACAAAACCAAAACAAAAAAAGAGACGTGCACAAGGGTTTACTAACCATGCCCAAACTGCACATGAACTTCCAGTCCCTAGGACTGCACCAGGATCGATATCCACTGCTTAAAAACAAGTTCACTTCAGCACATCTTTTCTCAGACTCTTTCAGCTCACACACATCCCCATGACACCCAGCAATGCTGTAGCGCCACTAACTCTGTATTACAGTGCAGGTAACCCGTCACCCTGCGCTCTCCCGATCGCCCAAAGCCACCGGTCCACAGGCACTGGTTATCTGTAGGATCCTCTTCCTGAAGAGGCCATGGTTTATAATAGCACCATTCAATTAGAATAAGCATAGGATCAAAACACCATAGATAATTTTCAATGTCGCTATAGAAAGTCCTTGAACTCTCAAAATTTGTCAAGTGTGAAACATATCAGCCATAAAATAAAAGTCAACTGTCTATACATATGCTGGCCTCAAGATCTACTCCAGAATGAGATGTGCCGCAGGTCAGGAACAGACAAAGATCTACGTCTGCGCTTTAGCCACTGACCTACTCATTCCAACTCTGACCCCATGTCAGAAATCACATAGAAAGCCATACAAAAACTACTTTTTTCAAAGGAAAGGTTTCTTCTACTTAGCAAAAGTGTGCCTCTATTTCAGTAGCATCCCTACCATAACTCAGACACAGCAGGGTCTCATGTGGGCTTCTCCACTCCTTCAGGACCACTCACACACTTTTATACTTTGGGTAAAATTTCCAAATAAAATCTGTTATAATGAGATCAAGTTCCACTATCACCAGCACTGGATCTACAGGCTAATAGGTGCCCAACAATAGAAATCTGATTGTGTTTCTGGCAAATTATTATTCTACCTTACACGTTTACACTAGATTTGTACTTTTCTTTCAGGTTCACGCCAAATGCTAGAGAACAGATGCTGCCCGATATGGCCCCTGGCCTAATAGGTTTTCTTGGGTGTTGTTTTTTTTTTTGTTAAGTTCTGGGTTTTTCTTCTTTAAAAAATAAAAACAAACCTGAACTGGCAAATTTTATACATCAGATTAGCACTTTGTACCTCTTAATCACGGTTTTATAATGTACAGAAGATTTAGTAGAGTTAGATTTATTGTATCATCTCACAACAGCCTAAGAAAGGCACATTTCTGGTTTTAGGTGGGCTCTAACCCATCCTAATTAGGTAGGATAACAGGAAAACCTGGCAGGCTGCTGTGAATAATAATTCCCCAAAACATACCAATCATTAGTTTGGTACCACCTATGATATGCTAAAGGGAACAGCTAATGCTCTGGGTGGCTCTGAAAAATGTTTAATGTTCAGATTAAACAGATTGCTACATTTATCTATAGAAAAGAGAAGTCTGGCTACAGAAACAATAAATCTACAACAGAAATATTGCCACTAGTCCTTTTAGTTTT